TCTCTCTCACACACATATTTTTCCACAATTGATTTATTAAAAGCACAATCAAGTGATACGCGTATTGTTTGTCTGTAAACATAATTAAATAATAAAAAAATAATTACCAAGAATTTAAAACAAAATTACATATTTACAATTTCGATCTAATAATTAATAAATTCTTAACATTTGTTTAATATAGATTTAATTAAACAAAACAAATTAGTTAATTTTAAATAAAATCAATCATGTGATTTTGGATTATAACATTTGCTTGATTAACGTAATCACAAGGTGTTTATTGTTATCACAATTTACATAAATCAATTTGAATATCCACTTATTATGCATGATGTTTTAAGTACTCATTTAATCTACATTATCTAAATATTTAGTCCAATATACCATTCTGTTTTAAACCTGAACCTTATTTTTATAAATTAACTCAATTTAAAATATATAAAACAATATAAAAATTTAAAAACTAAACTACTAATTAAACTACAAATACTTTGAACAAAGTTTATAAACGAGTTTCATCACAAAGAAATAGCATAATCTTATAATAAAAGTATTTCATATTTGTAACCCGTTGTACCTAATTAATGTACCTACCTGTCAATGTACCATGATGAATTTATAATACCGGAGATAAAACTCTGTTCGTCGACGGGAAAACATGGTCGTAAATCAGTGACTGAATAACATAAAGTCCATGGTCAACCCGGTATACTGCAACCAACTATAGTACTACTTAATTGATCCATATTATTTAGTGCAGTGTTATCAATTACAAGTTAAATTGTAAATTAATAAATCAAAATTTGTTATAGTATTTTGATTATATGAAAAATTGTATGGGAATTACCAGGTTGTATTTTAAATAGCAAAATTATTTTTAGCAAGTTTTAAGCAGAGTTTTCTAAATTTTATAAAAGGTAAAATTTTTTATATGGTAAATAATAAATAAATTTTAAATTGTACAATAAAAATAAGTTGTTTGAATTAATGTTAATGCAATATTATATTTTAAATCTGATAATATTGCAGCATGTTTAATAATGGACAAAAAAGGTTGGTTACCCATTAATTTGGTTAATCCGGGTAAAAGTTTAGGATGAAAACTATATCTGTTAGAGGTACAATAAATACGTATACATAAAGCAAAAATGTCACGGTACTAAATTAATCCAAATTTATTATAATTATAATCACAAGCAGTGCGCATAAATGCAAATGCCACCCAGCTTAATTATTATACCAAAATTGATTAAACTTTTAATATAAATACGAGTGGAGAATGTGGATCCAGATCATAGTTTTACCCAGTGTCTGGAGTTTAGCTACTGACGAGACTACAAAAACAACACTTCGGTTAAATAACTAGATTGAAAAATGGGTTATTTGACTCAAGCAGTGGTCGTTGGGCTGTTGGTCACCCTAACGTACGGTAAGTCAGCCAATACAGCACAATAACACATCAATATACACAAAAACACATTCAAATAACATGATGATTACTTAAAATATAGGGTACGACTGGCCAATCGTCGACTTCCCATGCGATCAGGCGGAGATCGACGCCACCAAATGTTTAGGCGCGAAGGACTGCCTATACCCGCACCCGTCCAACTGTAACCGTTTCATACAGTGTAACGACGCCGGCCTGGCGTACGACATGCCCTGCCCGGCGACCCTGCACTTCAGCAACAGCAAGAAGGAGTGCGATTACCCCGCAGTGGCCGGTTGTGACCCAAAGCCAAAGCCGCCCACCACCACTACTCGCAAACCTGCGCCGGGACAGTCCTTCA